GCTGATTTGCAGTCTTTCCACCTTTGCAATCTATGATTCCATAGTATGTGACCCGATTTGATGATTATTGGGGTCATAGCAGAACGCGGAATGAGTGGTTTTGGAGTGAAAATTCACCGTCTTGATTGTAAAAGTTTCACTTGAAGCGTACATGTACATGTGATATTGTTCACTACACATTGCCCTTAAGCTGTTTGTGGAGCGACTCGTAAGATTTACACTAGTTTCAAGTTCGGGCGGCCTAGCTGTTCTTGACAGAGGTTTCTTGTTGTCGCGCTCAAACGGCGGGAACACGACTCAAGAACACTTTTCTCGGAACAGGATCACACACCACTTCCTCGTCATGGTTTTACAGGAACACACGGAAAAACTCGTGAGACAATGATTTTTGAACAGCTGCAAAAAGTAGAGAGATGGCTTCCAAAGCCATAGAACATGTAGACAATGGGAAGTTTGCAAAATTAACATTAACTATTTTCCGAAACACAGAAATGAATGTTCCTGTTTACATAGAAAAGAATTCAGCCCATCCAAACCTTAATTCTCGAATAACGTACATGGACCCCGCCATGTTGCATGTTGCTTGTGATAATCGGTTATTTGTTCCCGGCGTTCGAGCGGCCGACCCACGAACAACAAATCTAGCTGTTCGTGAACATACGGGAACAAGCCGCCCGAACTCAGCCTAGGGTTTCGATTTTTACTCCACACACTGTTCATTATTAGGTGCCGTCTGGAAGGCCAAGTACACGGTCGCACACCGGCCTGGCATTCGGGGTAATTTTAGGGATTTGGGGGAATTATAGGAATTTTTAGGAATAAAGGATTTGAATTGTAATTAACTGTGATCAAACCTAGAAATTTGAACCCCCAAAGTTGACATGTAAATAAAACCCTGTATAATTGAGACAGTTACATTTGGACTCTTCCTGCCCGTTTTCCTTTGCCTTGGCGTCCTTAAACTAATAATTTAAGCGGACCTCCTTAATAGATGGCCTGTCATTACATTAAGTAATCTTGAAAATAGAGCACCATTCAAACAGCTCCTGCCCAAAGAAACATAGACGTCGCAAAAGCTCCTCTATATGTCTCTATATATATCGCTTTCACTGATTTTTTTAACGAACTGGACCGATTAAAGGACTTGCGATGTGGTCCTCATTTACTAACTGTTTCACAATATATCTTTCTTTCGAAAGAAACAACCAAATTTCGTCTTTAGTTTAGTAGTATTAAAGTGGTTTTCTTAAATCTCTGCTCTGCCGCAGCCCCACGCTTCTGCGTGGACTCGAGTTGATCAGGACTTTTGTAGATTGTCTTTAAAGAACACCTTTAACGAAAACACGTTTTCTCTTATTTTTATCTTATACCCAGCAAGAAATGAGACCGAGGGGTACACCCCCAACATGTCCAATTCCTATACACATTCCAGACTACTATTACTTAACACATCCCCCCCAAGATACCTGAAAGGAATTCCCCAGATTCCTACGAGACAATGATCAACACAAAGCAGGGGGGGTTCTCTCCGTCTCATACCTTGCTGGATATGTATTGTCTGGCTAGGTGCATTGTTTGGCATACGCAAGGGTTTATCTATAAACCACGGACGTACATAAAAAAAACTGACTGTGCAAGGCTGTAGTATGAAATAGAAGCCAACCGTCAGCCATTTACCGAGCCGAATACAAACGCGAGGGTTGGCTCCCTTCTATTGACGCCAGGGAGAACAAAAACGGTCATCGCCGGCAAGGTTTGTATTCGAGCTCCGACCGTGAACCTATTTTTCCTTTGTGTTGATCATTCCTGGTATCTCAGAAATTCTTTTCAGATATCAAGGGAGTTGTGTTAAGTGACAATAGCCTAGAGTGTGTATAGGGATTGAACTTTGGGGTACCACTCTGTCCCATTTCGTACGTGGTAATATTATTTGATTCCACTGTATTCAGTTGGGAGCAGGTATACGGTCATCATAAAAATCTTTCTTTGAGTGAGCTGTACAGCTTATCGGCTCTGTCGATGTTGTCACAGTACAGCTCTCACCTGTGATTTACATTCATAAACCTTAGCACATTTGACATGTGATACTAATCCCAGTTGGAGCGCATGGTGCAATTGGTTTTATTTATTGTACTGTTGCTCTCGTTCTTTCTTTCCTTTTTTATAGATCCTTTCAAGCCAAGATGACCGCCAGATTTGTAGGTTGCGCACTGGGTCAAGATTTCTCGTCAGCGTTGGCACGCAGACGTTCTGGATTAATGGTGTCTGCCATCGTGAATACTCTGAGCAAATCGTCCCAAGCACGCAGAGCACAGCCATGGTTGGTTCCTGAGTCTTCTCGATCAAAGACGGCTTTGTGGAAGGCTTCTGCCAAGCCTTATAGCACGCAGTCACCACAGATGTTGGTCACTGTTCCACCGCAGCCACTAACCAAGGAAACGCCATCCCCTGCCTCCGGCCAGAATGGCTTCAAGACACTAACCAACGTGGAGGTAGACACCGAGAAAAAGCAACTCCTTGTTTCCTGGGAAGGCGGTGCTGCGAGCCAGGCCTTTCCATTCGTCTGGCTTCGGGACAATTGTCACTGTCCAGATTGTTTCCACCCAATTGCCCTGGGCCGCTTACCAAGTGCGCAGGTAGTGAATGTCGACGTTGTTGCTGACTCCGCTGAATTATCTGCCGACGGGACGAAGTTAACTGTCCAATGGGACGACACTCACAAGAGCCAATTTACGACTGATTGGCTGAGATATTATCGCTTTGATAAATCCCCGGATGACCAGTTGTTCAATCCAAAATTAAGTTTTTTTAGTGCTGACGCCTTCCCCAAGTGCTTTGATTTTGGCGAGTTGCTGGCGGACGACAGGATCCTGTACGGCTGGCTGAGCGAGGTGCTAAAGCGAGGTGTTGCTGTGGTGAAAAATGCTCCCGCAGAAATCGGGCAGCTGCAGAAGATGGGAGAAAGGGTGGCCTTTCTTCGACCAACCCTTTTCGGGTACGTTTTAGACTGATCAATCTCATGACAGATTTAAAGTTGTGCTTGAAATTGTGTGCCATAATGAGGGGGGGAACCAAAGTTAACAACGGCACAAGTTTAAAATTTCCCGGCCCATTTAAAGAAATGAAAGAGCAGGAAAGTGTGTCTGAGCGGGCACCATCAGACTGTGTCGCCACGCACGTCACACCCCAAAGGGAAAAAGGGGGAGAGAAACAAGAAAAAGAGTGGACCGGTTAAAATCACCTATATATTGCCCGAAAACAACTCGCCAGACTATATACCTTTGTCATGATGTTGCCATGGTTGTCTTGTTCCCTGTAGACCCACTGTCATTCCGAATACAACTTTACACATTGATAAAAGGGAGCGTACTATAGATTCTCCCTGCCTGTGCTGGGTATACATTGCTTTGAATGGTAGAGAAGCAAGATGACTGCTCCATGATTGAGGTCTGTTGACCACCTTTCCTTGAAATGAGCTTTATCCCTTTGCAGGCGACGTCCAGAAGTGTGCCAATATATGACGTGACCTGTACCACTGCTCATCAACTTAATGGGGGTGTCCCCACGTTTCACAGCCAACCCACAACAGTCAATTATTCAACTGGATTATTAAAAACCATTCAGTGGTTGTGAATTGTTCTGTGTGTTCTTTCCCCTGCAGGGTAACCTCTTGTGTGAAGAGCGAACTCAAGCCCAGTAGTCTCTCGTACACATCGGATGGCTTGGCGACACACATCGACTACAATTACTACATGCGGCAGCCAGGGGTAGGCTGATTAAAATAGCCTTTTGACTTTTGCGTTGATCCAAAGGGTCCTGCACAATCCCTGAAAATGAAAGCCAGCAGAAAGTTCTTCGAATTCCGTCATTTCATTTCTTTCTGAAAAGGGGAGAAAGGGCCTCTCAGAATTGAGTTCTATATCGGTGGCGTATCATGGGTCGAGGTAAGTGTTATTTACCGGCCCAAATCTTCTGTAACTGGTGTACTTGGCACAAGCGGTCTTCCGTTACAGTATCCTTGGAACTATACTGCCGCAAAAACGTCAGTTATTGCATGGCCGCGAAGAGAATGGGGGGCTGTTAAAAACTGTCTACCTTTTAGCAGAGATTTTAATTGACCTTTTTTGACATTCACCCCATGACCCTGCTACACCAACGAGGACTGTCCAGCCTCTTTAATGCAACAAGATTTTTGGGAAATGGCAAATTAGCCTCGTTTTATATGGGACACTATCATTGGGAATGAAAAGCAATGAATGCAGATTTAGAATTTGGTTTTGGTCCTAAAGCGATTGTCCAGTTTGATATATAATCGGTAAAAGAATCCTTATTCCACTGAAATGTGATTAGGTAAACCATTTCTGATACAACGACGCTTATAATTAAAAATGGCAACATGATTCCAGACGGCAACGTGCCCCCCCACACACACACACACAACTGCTCAGAACCTCAACTTGTCCTTTTTACAGACTGTGCTCTTGACTCCTCTGAAAACGACTGGGTCTACATTCTTATGTTCCAGTGTAGTCGTGGAATCAGAGATTAGACCCGCGGATTAGACAACATAGACCTACAACGTACTTCTTGGTCTATTTGCGTTTTTTAATGAGAATTATATATTCATTTTGTTCTCACGCCAGTAGATATCTTAACCCTTTTTCCAATTGTTATAGTCTGTCAAGATGAAAAATGTGGTCAAATTTCACGCCTGCATATAATTATACCGACACAAATGATACTTTCATTTCAGATGCCATTTCAGCTGTTGCTGGATAAGTTTGGTGTTTATTCGCTTTGATTCTGTGCATAATCTTTCTTTAAACCATTCTACTCAATGTCTGACAGTTCGGAATGCTGCACTGCATCGAGCAGGCCGAGGGGGAAGGAGGCGAAAGCCTGATATCGGATGGCTTCAAGGTCGCCTTGGATCTCAAGGAAATTGACCCGGAGGCATTCCGTCTCCTGACGACCTACCAGTTTGAATATTCGGAAAAGGGAACAGACTTTTTTGGGCGTTTCTATCTGCATAGCAGGCACCCTGTTATCAGGTGAGCGAGAAAGACGGCGAATTTGGGACAATTTATCCAGACCGAGATGTGAAGTGGGAGGATTCTCCTATATTTGACCACTGTTTACTACCGTACGCCAGAATCGAGCGGTATAACCTTTCCTTCGACTATTCCATTATGCTGCTTGTCTGTGTGATGAAAAAGATCCTCATTCCCGGCCACATCCATGTTCTTCGGACCAACCTTAACTGCAATCCCTGTATAATTCCGCTATATCAAATTCACAATGCGACGCAAGCCTTACAGGGCGGAATATGGTTTAAACTCGATGAAGATAACACTTTTTGCCTAACTAACGATAAGAGGCCCGGAAATCTTTCACCGTAGTTCATGTATCATGGCTACAATTTTCAAGGTTTCCCCAATTATATATTTGCCAGATTGAATGAGCGTGGTGACATCGAGGCCATCTCGATCAGCAATCACACCCGGGACCCCATGCTCCGAGTTCCCGTTGACCAGGTGCTGCCGTTTTACCGTGCCCTCGATATATACTTCAAGATGCTCCAGAAACCGGAAAATCTGCTCAAATACAAAATGCAAAAAGGTATTGGCGATCTTTTGAATGTGTCTTTTTGTACATCTGTACCTATAGTATGTGTTAGGGAAAAAGGACCAAGGCCGCGTGTCGGATGGGGAATCTTACTTCTGGTACGTTATGGTCATTCTGACAATATAAACCTCTCGTGCTGAAAAGATTGGACTTATGACAGCATTTTGACTGGACATAATACTTTGTCAGCCTGATGAGAAAGAACAGCTTTTATCTTGTCAAAAAGATAGTAAACTTACAATGGTGTTGGGAAGACGAGTCCCACCTGTCTTTTCGAGGAAGAGGAGTTCAGAGCTTGGATTATAACAATGCTTGCCAATACATGTATTTTGAAATCGGTTTGAGTTGCCAAAAAAGAAGATTTTTGTTTGGGATGAGGTTTAATCGTTGTTTTCTCTTTGTTCTGATGTGCCTGTCCAGGAGATATACTTTCGTTCAACAACCGGCGGGTCTTGCACGGACGCAACTCCTTCACCTTGACGGAAAACAGTGTTCGCTGCCTTGAAGCCGGTTACCTGGACTGGGATGAAATTAACTCTCGACTGCGCGTCCTGGCAATGAAGTTGGAAAATCCTGCAAATGAGTGAACAGGCGTGGTATAGAAGTATATACCCCCATCCACTCAGTAATAACATTTTGTAAAGAACTTAGACTGCCTCTGGTGGTGTAGTGAAAACTAACCAACAAGGTGATCCACGGAGCATTCTGTCCTCTCCCCGGCGAAACCTTGGGCCGATAGAATGCTCATTGGATCACTAAGATGTGAAAACAGTATGTGTTTTGTTTTATGTCACCTCTCCCACGGACTCTTGATTGAAACGATGACTGATTAAGTTACTAAATACAATGTGAAAACGGCGTTTAGAGTTAAAACAATTTTTCCCACTTTTTAAACACATTTAGCTCACGACATGGTCATTGAAATGCTTGCAATGTGTTTGAATTCTAACGCTTTTCGGTGGTTTGTGAAAAGCTTTGTGAAATCCGCTGAGCATTTAAAATTACATTTTTAAACGCACTTCAGAGTGTTAACATGTCGCTGGTCAAATATGTTGAAAAAGAAAAGTGGTCACAAAGAAGTGCTCAGAAATGTGTTTAGACTCTAAGCACCTTTACAGTGTAAATACAATGAAATGCTCTTCTTTAGGAAGACGGAATTTGTTGAAAATTCTCTGGCACTTCTCAAAATTATTATCAATTATTATTATTATCAATTAAGTTCATGGGGGGTTAATTTAATACCACTTGGGACAATGTTGGCTCGCTTGACGAATACCCCAAGTGATACAGCGAAACAAATATGGGTTTATCAGCTGCCGGTGATAGATGCTTTTCAAAGGCAATGGAAGCAAATCAGCTCACCAAAGACCATCCGGTCAGCTGTTAAACCTTTTCGACATCCGCACCTCATCATGAAATTAGGCTGCTGGCGATTAAGTAATGCATTTTTTCTTTGCAAAGAAGCGTCCTAGAGATAGCCAGCTTTCACTAATGTGGCATTGAAACTGTTGGATTAAGTTATTCACAACAATAATATTTAAAGCCTTATGAGAAAAAAAGTAATTTGGGGCTCCTTCCATACATAAAGTGGTGCATTCAGCTTATTAACAATTGAGGCTGTCATAAAATAATTTCTATAGATAGTAACTAAAATTAGTATTTTTGGAATCATTAAGTAGCAATTCAGTCGAAATATTTTTTTTAAAAACTTGAGCAAACTTGAGCAATGTTTAACCTTGGTGATAAAATGGTAAAGGGATTTGATAAAATGAAGGTAGCTGGGATAACTTAGACATATTCTAGAATATATTTCAGGTATTCCCCAATAAATGCACTCGTCAAGAGTGACATACAGGCCAAAGCAAACACGTTGGCCAATCACAACGCGCGAAATTTGTCGACCCTTTCCGAACGCGCATTGCGTCGAAAACGCGCACCGTGATTGGTCAACGCGCTGCAAACTCTTGGAGGCGCACAATTGTGAAACGCCCGTATTGGGAGGAGAGGGACAGCCATTCGGAGAAGTTCGACACACACAAAAACACTCAACTATTTCTATTTTAATCGTCATTTTAATCGCAAAAACCATCATTGTTTTTCCTTTAGAGAATCATGTTTTACTTCTGACGGATAACGACTAAAAATTAAAACAGAGGGTAGGCATGGATGTGAGAAACGCGCCAAATGTTGACCCGCGAAAGGATACGTGGTGGGGGCGGGATAGGGGTTTGCGCTCCGTCCCCGAGGATTATTTTCCTTCTGAAAAAGGAGGATACAATACACACATCTTACACCAGCTCAGATGTACAATGTAGCTGTAAATTCCAGTCTCCGTGGCGCCAGGGGGGCTTTAGCATTACAAGCTGTTTTGGGGGGACGGGGGATTTCTCGTCTTGGAAGTAACACGAAAGTAACACGAAAAACAGTAAGAGAAAAACTGCCTAGTTTCCCACTTGCCTCTTATCATTACTCTTCCTTTATTTTAAATTTGCGTGTTCAGATGCGTACAACGGACAATAATTGAAATTAAAGCCTTTCATTTATCCAAAACTATTGATTATACACTCTCTGAGTTATTTCAAACTGCATTAAGAAGTGTTCTCTAACTTTATCCAAATCTGTTCGTATATTAAAATAGATCGATCATGAATTCCGCTGAAATTCTCCGCCAAGAGACAGGTTCATGTACATGTTCGCACAATCAATACAAAAATGATGCTTCCTATCCTCTCAACGTTCACATTATTTGACGTACATTTTTGCTTTAGAATGTAAACTTCACCCCTATTCGCAGGCATAGACGTGATGTCACTCCGAGGTCACCGGCTTGTTGACGTAGCGACTGGCTCACGTTTTTTTATACCCAGCAAGAAATGAGACCGAAGGGTACCACCAACATG